TTTTTTTTTTTTTTTTTTTTTTTTTTTTTTTTTTTTTTTTTTTTTTTTTTATAAATATTCTCCTTTTAATAATATTCAGTCTATATAAACATACATTTATACATATATGCTAAAGATCGCAAAGCAAAAATATGAAGCATATTTTCAGTTCTGCTAAAACCCCGTCACAAAAAAACAAAAAATCAATCAATTCTTAAAAAAAAATATTATTTCCAGAATTGAATTCTCGGAACACCGAGATTATAAATGACCCAGGCAGATTCCATATGAATTTTGTTAGACCAATCGGATTCGAATCGGAAATGAGCTAAGGGCAAATACTGAATAAAATCATTAAACATTTGCATCATTGTTTAAAAAACCACTAGAATACGCTTTTCTCGTTGTACAAATGAAAAATCCACTGGGTAGTCAGAATGACAAACTCCAACGGAAAACTGAGTCAAAACTCTCAACAAATACACATACTATGTATTTAAAATGTGCTTCAACTGTATTCTCTTTTCATGTTTTTATTTGTTAATAATAATTTTCGTTTTTTGGGCTGTATGTGTGCTTATGTATGTGCCGTTTATTAACAATGTTGGTTTTATGTAAATCTATCGAAAATTAATTGTAAATTACACATATTTTGTATATCTAAGAGACATCATGTATGATACACTACTATGCCATTGTTTATTGTTTTTTCTTCATGTTTTCATATTTTCCATATATTGTTATATATTTATACTATATATATGTGTGTTTGTGTAAGTGTAATTAAATATCCTTTGTATCTATTTGTTTGTTAACACATTCCTCTTGACGAGTTTTATTCATTGCATTTGATTTAGGTTATCCAGATTTTTTATTTCGTTTTTCTCAATTTTATTTTGTTTTTTGATTTTAATTCTCAACATCGATTTAATATTTGTATATATATATATATGTATGTATATATACAGCATAAATATATAGAACGCATTGAAACACAAATATTTACATAGATGTAAGTATAGTAAGAATTATTTGAATCATTTATTATTTTAATCTTGCAGGTGTTTCATATTGTTGTCCAGGTGTTCAGGTCATTGTGAATTGTGGTACAAGGTAGGCCCATTAATTTTTTAAATAATTTAATACTATCGTACAGCTATGTTTTCTATTTTTTATTTATTTATATTTTTTTCTTTTTGAGCAATTGTTTATAACTCAATTTAATACTGTTTGAATTTGTCTTTTATTTTGTTTGATTTTTAACATCATACAAACTAGTTTCTCAATATTGGAATGTTTTTAATATTTGATTTATAAACTGTTTATAATCTTTAATACCGTGCACTTATTATTCTTTGATTTTACCTATTTGTTTTATTTATGCAACATGTGAGATTGCTTTGAAATACTCATTTGATTTCGTTTTAGTTTTTAAACTATTTGTAAATATTTATTTTTTAATTTTTCTCTCTTTTTGCTGTTCTTTTAGGTATTCATTTTGTATTTTGTTAAACTCCTAAGCAGTGTCAATCATCTTTTAAATTTGACATTTGTTTATATAATAAAAAATATTAATTTGGTTTCTGTCATGCATACTGTTGATAAGAACTTATTGGGCATGCGCACAGTGTCCTCAATGCGAGCGAATGCCAAACGAAAAACTCGACTCCTCGGAACACTCAGCTTGCGCTTGCTATTGTTGTACTCCTGCACCGATACATATGTGTATAAGATGTTCTTCAAATGAAACTAAAACTAAAGAAAGCTGTGTGTGTGTGCGCGTGCGTGTGCGTGTGTGAGTGTGAGTGTGCGCCAGGCTTTAGGCAGTATATGTTTTATTTTTCTTTTGTTGTGTTCGAAGAGCTTAGCCAACAAAATTATTAATTAATGGACGCCGTGTGTTTACATACACATACATACATATGTACATACATATATGCAGTTGCCTATGTATTTGCTGAACACAATTTGCTTTTAATTAATGTAGGGAAAGTGTTTTGTTCTTTGGCTCTTTAGGTGCTAGTGTACGTGTGAGTGTGGGTGTGTGTGCGTGTGTAGTTGTAACATAAGAATGTTCAACTTAGTCCATTGAAAAGATTTGAAATCGCTCAAAATCGATGAGTCTGTCTATACTCTATACAGGATACGACAACTACATACATCAATAGTTAAAATATCTCTCTAAGTTTCTTTAGCAGCGAGCTAACGCAGTTGTGCGCGCTTGCGCACAAAACGAATTACTACTGTAGGCTGCAGCTGGCAAAGCTTTTACAAAATTACGAAACTACATTTACAGTCTACGAATACCAAATACAGGCTACACATTGCCATCAGTGCCCGGCCGGGACTGGGCGTGGAAATCAAACGGCAAAAGCAAATCTTAAACTAACCACTGTGCGCATGCGTGTCGGCCGACGCCAGATGGCGCTGCTCCTCGCTGACGGCCTGACGTGCCGCCTCGCATTGCGCACAGTGCTTCTCCAGAAACTTCATGGACAAGCGGAACGTATACCGGTGCCGGGTACAACGCCTTTACATCTTATACTCGACGATCTTGTTGGGATTGAGGAACTGCTCCCGCTGTGCCGCATCCAAATGGGCGACAGTACGTGTCAAGGCCGAGCCAGCGCCGGAACCGGAGCCAGAGCCGGAGCCGGTGCCGGTGCCAGAGCTCTTGTGCTTGCTGGTGACATCGACAGCACCGCCTCCGCCTCCGCCTCCACCTCCACCTCCGCCACCGCTCGTACGGCCCGAGTCCGTGCCAATCGGCTGATAGACCCCATCCGCACTGACCACGCCCACATTGACCCCGGCGACCACGGGCTGCTGCAGATAGCCCGAGTACTGTGGAGGCAGCTGGTAGCTGGCTGGCGGCTGCTGTGAAATGGCCCGCGGCTGCTCCGTGTGCGCAATGGGATATTGCTGCTGATGGGCATAGTCCTGGCTGCTGCCGCCGCCGCCCACTACAGTAGCCGCACCGCCAATGCCACCGCCGCCCCCACCCATGCGCGAGCCAGAATCGTCGTTGAGCCCTTCGCCCATCTCGCCGTCGCGATTGTGGCGACCTCGAATGCACAGCTTGGTGAACAGCCAGACGCGTCCGCGGTAGAGCAGATAGCAGCAGAAGTGCACGAAGAACGTGAAAATGATGGCACAGGCTGTCACAATGATGGCCTTGCCCGGCTTGGTCCAGTCCATCATCGGATAGATGGCAGTTTGGTTTTTCCTTAACGCAGAGAGAGATACGAGTATTCATCATTATGATACCAATTGGAGATTTCCATTTGCTTGCTTACCTGTCTGTGCCGCCGGCCAAGAAGTAAATGCCCGTGAAAATGGCGTAGGCCAGTCCAATGCCAGTTGTAAAGTAGGCGTGGCTCATCTTAATCGGATGTCCCACAATGGCCAGATCGATGAGCATTATGATGGAGTTCAATACGTGCACCATGATGTTCAATGCGTCAATCTTGTGGATATCTATGGCGGATAGATGGGAATGAGAATCACATATCGATATAAGTGGGCAAGTATAAAGAGTGACAAAGATAGAGAGAGAATGTGGAGCGAAATGGGGGAAATAATGTAATATGGAGATACGTTTATTATTTTAATGATACACTAAGTAATTTCGTTTTTTTAGTTGAATTACGATTGTAAGTGCGTCTCTTCAGGTCTCAGGTATACATATATGCACAAGAATATATCTCGAAAAGTCATTGGCTCTATAAATGTACATTAGAAATACTATAGAGTTGTTAGACTATTCCAGTAAAATGTATGCCTGCATATGCACTATGGATTTTCAGACTTATGTTTATTCAAAAAACTCATTCATGCGGCACAACGTATCTAAGACAGTTCATTTCAGATTTACAATTGCAGGCTCGGACTCCGAGTTTGGGTAACAGGAATAAGCGCACAATGGCCTCACGTGTCTAGCATTCTGCCCATCCTGTGGAGATTGGACTCGGAGAGTATTTCAAAGGCATGCGCTATCTCGTCGTCGGCATCCACGAAGGTGTAGGCAGCCAGAAAGTCCATCAGCAGGATGACCGAGCAGAGCGGTATGTCCAGAATGGGCCTCACCCCCCAGATGAGGCCGTTGAACACTAGCACTTGGAAAATCATCAGTGGACACATCGCCACAGTCAGTAGGCCATGAACAAGGTACAGCATGATGTCAACCTTTCCTTTCGAGATGAAGTAAACCAGTACGAGGGCAATGCCCGTCAGCAGCAGTACACCGAATGACACGATAGTGGCATACCGGACAGGAGACAGATGCCTCGGCTGCCAGGATCCCAGGGACCCAAAGATACACATCAGAGCAATAACCTCCAGCACATGGACGAGGGTCGTCGGATCCTGGGCGATCAGCAGGAAGGCATTGCCCAGGCTCAGCGCGACGGCGATGGTGGTGCAGACGGCCCAATTGACCGGATACTTGCGGCGCAGCCAGAGTATGTTCACATAGATGAGGAAGATGCCCAGGCCAAGGACGTACAGGATTAGAGCTGCTAGGGAATTGCGTTCGGCGGGATGCTCGCGCGTCGCCTCAATCGCATGGAGCATTATCACGGCGAACAGAATATATGCGAGGGCCGCTCCAAACAGTTGCAGATAATAGTTGCGCAAGCTCTGCGGCAATCCGCGCGGCGGATCGCTCATCAAGTTGTATGTTTGTTGTGCTCAGTTGATTGCTGCTGCTATTGTTGTTGCTCTCATTGATGTTTTCTCTTTTTTTCCCATTTTTCTATTTTCCCCTCTCACTTTTCAGTTTCATTTGAGAGCGTAGCCTGTCCCCAGCTGTCAGTCTCGTCTGGAAAATGGATCTGTGCTATTTGACAAGCCACATGTCTAGCAAATCTCGCTCAGCGCCAGAGCTTTACATGCGTTCGGCGGAAACGCAAACGCAAAAGCAAACGGGCACGAGAAGAACGCGTGACACGCATGACGCGCCTGACACGCAAGACACACGAGACACGCGGGACACGCAGACCACCAGCGTCAGACTGGAGGATACTTCCGTATCGCACGAGACGAGCACGAATCCCTACTACCATGACTATATAGCACCGCTGGAGTCCGAGTCGTACATTCACAAGAGAGAAGTGTCACGCATCGGCTTCCTCTCCAACGTCTATGTGCTGCTGATCGTCCAAGTGTGCGTGTCCACACTCCAGTGGCTGGTGGCCACCTACCGCATACGGCTGCAGTTGACCTCGCCGGAGCGCAATTTCACAGCGTTGGTGCTCTTCCTGATCTGGCTGAACCTGACGCTGGCCTTCTTCGGCTTCCGCCGCCTGCAGCTGACGGCGCCCATCAACTGGATCGTGTTCGTCAGCATATTCGAGAGCCTCACCCTGCTCGTGATGTGCCTCTGCACGCATGACATGGAGCTGACCTGGCCCTACATTGTGACCGGGATCGCCGTCGTGCTGATCTATACGCCGCTGGGCCTCTGGCTGCCCGCCTTCCTCACCGTCAATCTGTGGATACTGATCTTCCTGAGCATCAGTGTCCTGATCACCAGCACCGTGGCCCTGGTCACTCGGCTGGCCATGCACGTCTTCGTGCCGCTGACCATTTGCCAGATGATGTTCGGGCCCTGGACCATGTACAATGCCTTCCAGCTGCACGCCATTCCCCGGGAGAGCTACCGGAGGTACAGCTTTCTAAAGCAGGCGGCCCAAATGTACATCGCCTTCGGCTGCACTGTGGGCGGCCTGGTCGTCGTCAGCCGCATCGCCAACGACGCCATTGAGATTGAGAGCTGCAAGGCAGTGGTGTTTTGTGGGAAGCGATCCATTAGCCTGACGTATGGGCCAGGGAATTGAATCGAATCACAACAACAAACAGCTGCCACTTACTGATCTTTGTCGTCCACATTTTCTTTTTCATTTTTTGTATATATGTGTGTATACTGATTTGGAGCACTGTTTACTTACCGGGATTGTGGACGAGCAGCCAGTAGCACATTGTTACAATAAAGGCGTAGACCGTGGCGCAGGTGTAGAGCACCCAGTATAGGTGGTGCAGGCGGCTCTTCTTCGCCTGCCGCACAATCTCAAAGTCCTCGCGCTCGACCATCATGCCCTGGGTGACGATCCAGGCGGCCAGCCATGCCTGCACAGTGCAGAAGAGCAGCCCCCAGTGGGTAAGGTAGATCCACCACTTGGCATAGTGGTGCTCGAAGTGCTCGTCGGTGCGTCCAATGTCCAGTAGTGAGCAGACCAGGGCTGCCAAGCACGTTATCGCCGTTATCCAGCGATAGAACAGGTACACAATGCGCACCTGAGTATTGCGCTGCCACTGCGTGGTTAAAAAAAGAAAACATTATAATGAGACTTTTAATTGTGTTCAATTAAAGTTGATTCGAGCTACTCTTTTGGCAATTTATTCTAGCCACAAAACCAATGTGGGTAAGCGTAAAAATGTTGATTGTATTATGTACCTTACTTTCGAGTACCATCGATTTAATACACTCACTCATTCGTCTTCCATCGTTAGTCGGTCCCTCTACCGGGTGGAATGCTAATAAGCTTTGCTCAATAACTCTAGAAATGAGCACTGAACACAACTTTACCTGCTTCATAAGCAGAGCACCTGCACTCATATGATATTTGATTAAATTTGCTAGACTGCTGTAATCTCAGCTGTGACCGACTGGAAGATATCCAAAGACTCGTGTAATGAGTCGTATACAAATATTTATTTTATATATATTCAAATCGGGAGTTTCGTTCAAAAGATATAGCCAGTTAGTTATTAAATATATGAAACCTCTTCTGTAGATCTAATTCAAATCATTTATAGTATTAAATGAAGAATTGGGTTATTATTCATGATAAATTATTAGTTTTTTGTTTAATAAAATCTAATTCCAATCAGCAGCTCTTGAACTCTTGAATGAATTATAACTATTTAAGTTTTCAAAAATGTGAAACCTCTTCAGTAGATATAGTAATATACAATAACTACTAATTGTGAGCTTTAAATAACATGCATGCAACGTATGTACCGTTAGCTATTCTAATATACAGGGTATGTGGTAATCGTATACAAGTCAAGATTGGTTGTTGCTGTCATTTCGCTCACCTGGCACAGGTAGAAGTTATGCCGATGTACGTGATCCGGCGTAAACTCCGGAAAGCAGCTGTTCCACAACTTGCTAACCATCATTCTCTGATTGCCCAGGCAGCTGCTGGCGTCGTTGGCGAACTGATTGAAGCCCTCACAGCTGTCGTGCGAGGGGTATTGGTAGGACTGATAGGCCTGTTGCTGCTGCGACTGCAGCTGCTGCTGTTGCTGGTGCTGATGTTGCTGGTAAGGATATTGCTGCTGCTGCTGGTGTTGGTGCTGCTGCTGCTGCTGCTGGTAGTGATGGTAGCGTTGCTGTTCCGTTTCGCGATGCGTCTGATTAACACTAGCTGCTGCTGTTGCGCTGCCTCTTCCTCCCCCGCCGCCGCTTCCGTCACCCCCGCCGCTGGCCCCTGCTCCGGCTGCGCCGCCGTGCTCCGTTTGGTATTCGTGTTGTGGCGGCGTCTTGTGGCTGTTTCTGCTACCGCCGCCGCCGCCGCTGCTGCTGCTGTAAGGGCGCAGAAAATCGGGCAGGTCAAGATCGAGTATGTGCGCCAGCTGGGCCTCTTCGTCGTCCTCGTCGTAGTACTCTGGGTGGTGGTTGCTGTTGTATTCAAGAAAGCGCACGTCCTCGAGACTCTCGCAGTCCGTGGATAGCAGGGCCGCCGGCAGGCACTCCTCAAGCAGGTCGTCCTCGTCCTCGGTAGTGCTGGCAAGGCCCGGCAGATAGCCGTAGTTGTCGTAGGCGTCGTATCGCCGGCGTGGCGTTGCCTTGTAACGATAGCCGCCAGCTTGTAGCTCCTCCTCCGCTGCTGCAACCGCCGCCGCTGTGTACTCTTGGAACGGCTCGGCTCTGACTATGGCGGGCGCCCGGTTGCTGCTGCTGCTGCTGAAGTAGTAATCGGTGGCTACGCTGGGCGCCGGTGGTGGCGGTGGCAGTGCCGGGGCCGGCAGTGGCGGCAAGTACCCAGGCGAGCTGCCCGTGGACGAGAGCAGCGGTGTGGGCGACGTCTCAAAGTTGATCAGCGCCGCTGCTGGATAGCCCCCGCCGCTGTATCCCAGCCGATATGGATAGGGAGCGCCGCCAGTGCTGCTGCTGCCGATGTAAATGTGCGCCGACGTCGACGGCAGATGGTACCAGCTGGCTAGATTGCTGCCGCCCAGACCGAAACCTAAGCCCAAGCCCAGGCCCAGACCCAGCCCGCTGCTGCTGCTGCTGCCGCGACTGAAGTAATAGCTGTACTGTTGCTGCTGCTGCTGCTGCTGATGGTGGTGGTGCTGCTGCTGGTGTTGGTGCAGGGGCGTGTAATTGTAGTGGTTGCTGCCCGAGAGCCAGCGATGTCGGCCGTAGTGCTGTCGCTGATGGTAGAGAATCTGCTGCTGCTGTTGGGCTAGCTGCTGTTGGTGTTGTTGCTGCTGCAACTCACGCTCTAGCCGTTGCAGCAGCAGTTGCTGTTGAAGTTGTTGGATCTGCAGTTGCTGCTGCTGTTGGGCGAGCAATTGCTGCTGCACTTGCTGCTGTTGCTGTCGCTGCAGCTGCAGCTGTTGTTGCGTCTGCTGCGTCTGCTGTAGCGCTAGTTGCTGCTGTAGTTGCTGTTGTTGCTGTTGGCCACTAATTGGCTCCGGTCTAAAGTAAAACTGCGCGTAATCCAATGTGAAGGCGTTGCTCTTTACTTTGCCTCGCACCTACCACACTTAACAAGTGCTGCTGCTCCTGCTGCTGCTGCTGCTGCTGCTGTTGCTGCTCTTGTGGCTTGCTTCAGATCTCTCAGTTGCTGCGGTTGCGGTTACGGTTGCTCTCACAAATCCAGTTATTGCTGCAAGTAGAACAAGTGACAAAACGAGCTCTTAGTCAACTGCTGCTCACACGTTGACGACTACTGCGAGTGCAGCACTGCGCCAGCCTATTAAAGCACTAATTAGACGGGCATCAAGTATACGCCGTGTGGCTTTCAATTGCCACTTGAGGCGCTTGTTGGGTAAACAAATATTCCTCGAATTAGTTACCTGATGCGTACAGATAGAAGCGTCTGGCTTCAATTCAACATTTTCTGAATGCAAACTTAAGCAGGTGTCTTCAAAGGAATCACAGCTGCTAAGACTTGACTTGCTCCAGTCCCAATTAATTTGAATGGAAGACGTACAATGAATGGTCGCAGACAGAGCGCAAGTAATAGTGATATAAGCATATAATTACAGGGTACAATCAATCCGTTATGCCTGCTCTGAGCCGTTAGACAGCCAGATGGAAGGATATCAATCTTAAGAGGAAATCATCCTTCGAGCCTAATGCAACTCTGAACATTATTGAGATATGGAAATCGTGTTGGTATAAAGCTAATATTCTGTATGTTGATATTTGAGGGAGTGTCACAGCTTCAGGTATGCTGAAGTGATATCAATTTCTTGATGGCTGTGCTTAAGCACCTGCACATTCAATATTTATTCCCGTTAATATAATTATACTTTATAGGCGAAATACTGTTGAGATTTTATTGATATGAATGCGGCGACAGTCTGAAAGTGTTTATAGCGAAAGACAGACGGTAAAGCTATGCGACACAAGCGAATCAGGAACATTCACATGAACAATAATTTATAAAACAGTATCATAAGTTCCTCAGCCTGATATAAGTATGCCAGTTTCTACTTTGTCAACGTTAATTACTTAATATTTCGAAAGTCAGTTGCAAATTGTCATCTATCGATTGGTTATTAAGCAGCATTCATTAGGCTTTCAGCATGAGCATAAGAAATCGATGGAGCTTATTATTATTTCATTTGTATACATTAAAGAAGCATCTTTGCTCAGGCATCCTCGTGTTTATGTGCTTAATATTTACGTATGTAGCATAGACATTTGTCATTGGGATGGGATATACATATATATAAATATATACATATATCATTTACTAAAGGAAATCGAGTATATTGGCTTTGTGCAATATCCGTCTGAACTGGAATAACGGAGTTTAATGATTTTCCTGTTGCTTCGCTAAACGGAAACTGACATTTCCTGTATCTCACAAAAGAGTTCCAATTGGGAATGAATACTTTGGTCAACAGGCAAAGGTCAAATATATATAAGGGATATAGTTAGCTACGCCAACTTGGTACAGTAACAAACTTAAAATTCTCCCCTCTCAAGGGGAGAAAGCTATGTAATTTAATTGGAATACTCGAGCTATTGCAAATGCCTTCTTTAATTAATAAAATAATTGATTTTTAATAATCATTCATTTTATTTATCCTAAATGAGTATTATGCAGTCGGTAGGGCCCGATTGCAATGCTCCTGCTTATTTTGTTATTTACTTTTTCGGTCGGCAGAGCCACAGAGAACAATATAATTGTATAAGGAAACTAGATTAAGCGGAAAGCGGCTAATGCAAATCCTTGTTGGCCATTTTGCTCATTGGTTTCTCAAATGGAGCAGCTAATGATTTGTGTGCACAGTTTGCCAGAGACAAACAGAACGAAATACAGACACGAAATGCTTAAATATAAACTACATGAAACACAGCCAACAATGCCAGCAACAACAACAACAACAACAACAACAACAACAACAGCAGTAGCAGCAGCAGCAGCAACCACAGCAATAATGGCCACAGCAACAGCAATAAAATCAGATCAAATTGAATCGCGCGTGCGGCAGGCAGCACCAGAGCAGCAAAGCAAATGGCGACCAGCTACTTCCGGTGCGGCCATTTTGGTTAGTCGCTGACTGCCGTTGCGCTCGGTTCAGTTGTCTGCATAAAACAGCAGAAGTGGCCGACGGAGCTGCTAAAGCGGCTGAGGCTCGGCCTCAGTTAGGCAGTAGCCGAGCCACGCTAAATGCATTTTGTTTAACTAGTCTTGTCTCTGTATTAGTGCATGTATATGCGTGTGTGTGTGTGCGTCTTTTGACGTCAGCAATATTATTTTGTTGTTGGCGCTGTTTACACAGCTGCGACAAGGGTCGCATTTGTTGTTATTGCTGGCCATCTCTGCTGCTGTTGCTGCTACTGCTGATGTTGCTGCTGCTGCTGTTTCTGCTGCTGCTGGTGGTTGCTGCAATATTTACACTGGCAATTTGCTTAAAGAACACTCACAAACTTTTCAAGCAACATAAAGACTGCCAAGCCTTTACCACCCACCCACACACTTACACACAAGTGCTACTTGTTATATACATCCGGCGGAACTGTCTCGAGTCTTTGCTTAGCTCTAGCACAACTTTCATTTGTGCGGTGTATTGCGGCAACAGCTGGCACATAAAATACATTTTGCAATGCAAGCCTTCAAATTGCGAAGTGTAGAAAACCTTATTTCCTTTAACGAAATAATACGAATTTCGTTGTTAACCAAAATACTAGTATTGGCATTTCGTTGGCATTTCCATTGCAGTCTCTAAATCGATTTCCATTTAAGCATATTTACAGGCATTTTTCAGGTTGAGTTCCGTTTGAGTTGGAGAGTTTGATATTATTCCAAAAACATTTTGTTTAAATTATGATATTTATTTACAAACATGCGAAGAGTATTTTATATTTGTATAGACTTTGCAATAGATTTATAAATTATTTAATAAAAGAATTGTAAAGTAAGTTTAGATTTTACCCAAGTCTCAGTATTGGAGATGTTCACTAAAAGATATTGAATTATTCGATCTTCATCCGTCCACTCAAACCACACCAGTTAATCGAAGTCACAAACAATCGGGAATGCTTGATATATCTAATGCTAAATATATCTTATTCCATATTTATATTATATCATCACAAATAGTTTATGTACTGGATATATATGATATCCTTCCTTGAAATGTATTCAAAATGTGTATTCAATCGGGAAATATCTAAAACTTTTGTTTTAAGCTGTTTCATTCTTGGCTTGATTTTGGATTAGATTTGTTGTTACTTTTGCATTTTTTGTGTTAGTAAACTTTGCTTAACTTTTGCTTCAAGTTTTTGCCTCAATGCTTTTTATCATTTTCTATTGACAAAACTAGAGCTAAAACACCGACTGCTCACTACATTTTGTTCTGTAGTGCTCTACTTGGCGAGTCTGCAAATTTAGTTTTCAAACAAACTGCAGTAAAAGAAAATATTGCTTAACAGTTTATTCCAAATAGATTAGTGCTGCCATCGATTTCGTACAGAAAAGCCAATATACCTCCTTGCGATTTATGAACAATGCATAAAATCTTTGCAAAAGTTTCATGGCAACTTTGACTGAATCAGCTTCTGCTTTTACTGTAGTTGGTATTTGTTTATATTCAAATTTTGGAATTGGCTCTGCGGTGGGCAGTAGTGCTCTCTCTCTCTCTCTCTCTCTCTCTATCTCGCTCTGTCTCCCCCTCTCGATTGGAATCCAAATAAAATTAAGGACGTAACAAATGCCAAGAGTGGCACGGGAGACTGTCCTTCCTTGGACAGGCACACTTGGCTCACATGGCGTATGAGCGATCTTTAATGAAGTTGCACGAGGCAAACAGACGCTGATGACGACAATGGCAGCGAGCCAGTGCTGCCACTCCACAATCCCAGAGACAACATTAATGCTAATTTAATTACAAAAGCTTGTCTCCACATGTCCGCCGAGCAGCCACTACTTGGCTGACAGCACCGCCCAGCACCGCCCCCAGCCACGTGTGGATGGCTTTGCTTGGGCACAGACTTAATGCGCTCAAAGGAAATTCGTTCAAGGCTTTGCCCGTGCAGTAGAGAGAATGCACATACACACATGCTAAATATAATACATTATATATGTGCATGTGCCTGACATGGAACTGGACACTGAATTTAAAAATCATTTTTCCCGCTAAATATGTCTTTTCCACGAAAAATTGTGTTTCGTGCTAATTGGTTGGCTATGTCCTGCCAAACTAGGCAACACACACACAGACATCTAGACACACGCACATTCGCAAATACACACACATACACTCACACACACTCACGCTGTCATAGTCAGGCAGCGTTGCTGTGCAACGCATTAATTATCCCATGAAAGTGAATCTCACATTGATTTATCAATAGCGAGCGCGTGAATTAATTGCTTAAGACTTTTGTATCGAGTGCCAAATGAATTATGGCAGCTGGAAATGCTGACACAGGACTTGACTTACGGCAAACGATGTGAGCGTGACACGAATTCAAGTTTGTTGAATACTATTCCTTGTGAATGGGGCCAGCTTGTAGTATATCATATATAAGAATGTCAAAATGAATCACTAATGATGGATGAAATATGATAATCGTTACAGTCTGCTGTTAATCTTCATCAGAAAGATTATACAATTCGCTGTTATAAATGAATTAATTATCTCAGGTAATGCTTTTACTATATACATAATTCAATTGGAATGGAAATAAAAAATAAACAAGTAAGAAAGCTCTAGTCGAGACTGCTCGACTACGAGATCCCCTGAACCCTACAAGCAACTGATATTTCAATAATA